CTCTCACCTCTGTGTAAGCCATATCATGAAGTGAAAAGATGCAGTAGACGATAATAGATGAGATTAGTGGCCAATTCTTCAAGAGAGAGGTTTCTTCATTTCTCTCTGACGCTTGATGAGATTCAGGGTCTTTGAGAGCATCAAAAGACTTATCATGTGAGGAATCATCATCAGACTTGTGATTGTGCAATGTTTCCTGGAGAGGAGAATCAACGGTTGAACACTGTAACTCACTCATGGAACAGGAGAGAGCATGAAACGTAAAGAGCGTACCGGAATCCATAACGAAATTATGGTCACCAACAATGCAAAAATAGATATTGCAAAGCACGGCAAGAAGTAGGGAAATCTGCATTGTGATTTATAGACCAATGAGACTATTTGTATATGAGTTGAATGAAAATGAAGAGGAGATAAGGGAAATAAGTACTTACTTCCCGAAAATCGATTCCTCTGAGAACAAACTTGGATATTGCTTTGCAGGCTACAAGATCAGGAGATTAAAACAAGAACCAAGAAGCGGCGAGAGAAGTAGAACGAAATAACAAAGATTGAAAATGGTTTTACTAATGAATACCTCAGCAAGAAAACCTCCCAAAGCAGGGCCAACGATGAGTCCAATGCCCCATGCTGTACTAACCTACACGATACGATAAGATTTTTTTTTTTTTTATAAATTGCTCATTTGCTCTTACTCAACTGGAAAAGTTGAAGACTTTAAAACTTTGGATCAAGAACTTACAGCTGAGAGTGCTAAACCTTGATATTCATCACGGAATATTTCCATCGCGTAAGCCTGAATTCATCCATTTTTCGCGTTAATGAGCTTTCGAGAAATCCATGGAATAAGTATGTCAAAATGTTAAAGAGAGAGAACAAAAGAAGACACCTTTATAGGACCAAGTAAACCATTGAAACTACCAAGGCAAAACCTTGTGACAATAGCCATCCAGAAATTCAAACTTAGACCAAACAGAGTATTGAAAATGACCCTGTAACAGAATCAAAGCAAATTGGTTTTAAAGAGATGCAGAAACATAAATAAAAGAGATTGAAGAAATAATTTGATCAAAGAATCACTAACACTGAAGCAGTTCCTATGAGGATTACAGGTTTTCTACCGTAACGATCAGCCACAATTCCCCATATAACCGATGTCAAAGCTCGACCGAGCATGAAAGAACAACCTATACAGAGAATGTGGGTTTAAAAGACTTGTAATCATTGAGAAATTAAAGAGATTTATCTTGGTTACGGTTAATATGATCATCGATGACTGACTAACCAACAAATCCAGCGTAGAAACCAATGTCCTCTTCTTTCTTTGCTATGTTAAAATCACCAATCTT